CACGCCTGCTAACGTCACCCGCCAGGTGGCTGGGTGTGACGCCGGCGGTGAGGGGGCGTATGCTGCGGGCACGCCCGGCACCTCGCGCAGCCCCCCGCCTTGTGCGGATGCGGCGGCTGGAAAGCTCTCAACCTGCGCCCGCAGCTCGCCCCCGCAGCGGATGCCGCGCGCAGGATGCTGCGAGGCCAGCACTGGCCGCATCCGCGACAGCCGCGGCCCGTCGGGGCCAGGCTCGGGCGCGGGTGGCACCCCTTGGGGCATGCGCAGGGTAGACCTGGGCGCGTGTTGGTGGTGCATGGAGGGGTCGCCCTTTCTTTGCTCGTGCAGCCGAGCAGGCGGCATTTGGGGTCCCCTTCTGCGGTTGCGCCAAAGCTCGCCTGCCAGTGCACAGAACAACTCGGCGTGCACGGCTGCACGGCCTTGAAGGGGCCGTCCACAAGGGAAATCCTATTGACCAGGACGAAATTCGCATGTTTTAATCACATTGGGCAAACTCTGGATCACAAACCGCTCACAGGAAGATGGCGACATGGTGGGCTCCGACGTGGCTGCCCCAAGCAAACGCGTCGCCCTGTAGCGCCGTCGAAAAGTCGGTGAGCAGCACGCCGGGCACGACGCCGGATTCCTCGACGCGCTGGCACCAGGTGGGTGCTGAGACGCCCTGCGCGGGTGGCACGGGGGTGCGGGGGCGGAAGGACACACGACACGTGTGCTCAAGATGGGCACGGCGGTGGTCTAGGTTGAAGTAAGAACGGGCAGATACGCAGTCAGCCGTACGGGCGAGAGCTTCTCCTGCTCTGCGACTGAGCTGCCGTTCAGGCAGAGATGGAGGCCATGCAGCGAGCAGTTGGGTGCAATCGAGCCAGAACTCTGGCTTCCGCTCCAGGCCGCAAGGCGCTGGGCGCAGGGGCGGGGAATATCGTGTCCATGCTGCAGGTCAAGCGGACATTTTCCAGCCAGGATGCGCGGAAGCGCCCAGCGCCGGGCGCGGGGCGTGGGGCAGCAGACCTCGTCGGTACTTTGAGGAGCCGCCGCCCACAGCATTGGGTTGCACATCCTGGCCAAAGTGTCCACTCTGTGGGCCCAGAGGCTGCGCCAGCGGGTGATTGCGGCGGCACGCAAGGCGAGGGTGACGCAAGGGTCATGGCACGATCTACCGCTCGATTGGAGGGTGGAATCAGCGTGGCACAGGCGCGCCTGGAGGCGGGGTGGGGACCTCCAGCGAGCTAGGAAGGAAGCGGGCAGACAGGCGGGAACCAAACAACAGCCTGCAACAGCAGCTTAAAACATTTGCACGCGCAGCCCGGCAATCGAGCTTGGGGTCGGCTGCCTTACGTGTAGGGCAGGGTGGGGGTGCGCTGCCACTGCACCAGGTGCAGCCCCTGAGATTACCGACCGGGAGTGATTGTTGTTTGCCACAGGTATGGATGAGGTGTTGAGCAGCCAGAAACACAGGAAAGGAGACGAGAGGTTGGCGCTGTGACCCTTGCATGCTGCAACATGCCAAAATCCAGCGCCGAAGCTGTGGCGCAGGGAAAGCACTGGTGTCTTTGCTTGGTTCTTCTGCAACCTGCCCGACGACAACGCGCGCCCTCTCCCTGCACTTTTACTCCGTCCTGCTCGTTGCATTTGTTGTGTCACACACACACACACGCACTCACACACGCACACACGCACACACGCTTACACGCACACACACACACATACACACTCACGTACTCACAAAGGTTTGATAAGGGAGGATCAAAGGGTGCATTCCTCATCCAGACCCACCGCGGCCACGTCATCATCACGGATGAGGTCCCCGTTGCCCCCTCTCCACGCGCCCTCAAACCAGTACGCCAGCTGCCTGCGGCGGATCAACGGCAGAAGGCAAGCAGTGTGTAGGGAGTGTGTGGGTATTGCTGCTGGGATTGCGCTAAAAAAAGGGGCATTGGGTGCCTTGTGTTCTGACGCTTGCAAAGCGGGCCAATGTCTCCTCACCAAGCAAACAAGCCCCGGCCCCTGCTGCATACTCTCCAATGAGCAGTGTGAGCCGGCCCATATGGCAGGGGCCCCGCCGCTCACCCCGCCCCCCACCCCCCCCCTCCCCCCCCCCC